TTTGTATAGTTGTCGTGTATGTGTGTGTGTGTGTGTGTGTGTTGTTGTCATTGTTTCATTTTTCTTTTTCTTTTTCTTTTTTTTAATTGTTAATTGTGTCAGTAATCTTTAGCATTATGATAAAAATAAAAAAGTCATTCATTTTCATTTATTTGATGATTGTGCAATACCTATTTTCATTTTCATATCAATCTATTTAATTCTTTTAAGTATATCATCGTTTCCAGACTGTCGTCATTAAATGTACATTAGTCAGATGGAATTTTTTTTGTTCAATTAGCCAAAACTTTGTTTGTTTCCTGATAAACAAGGACGATTACACCGATAATATAAATAAGAAAAGAGAAAAAAAAAAATAATCTTATCATCAATTATCATATTTTCCTTTTTCCTATTCATCTCCAGAATGGTCATTAAATAATGCTGCCGTTGGCGAACTGAGAATCATGTCCACTTAGAGACAAGAGAATAATCGATAGTAAAGCTTTATCATTTCAAAATGACCACTAATGCAAAACGGAAGTAAATCTGAAGAGAATAAGTGCCGATATGAAAAAAAAAAGAATCAATTTACACGTGCCGCTTTGTATATATAGACGATGTGTTTGACACCATTGATTTGTTTTAATTTGATGCTTCATTAAGTACAATGTATCGAATGAATGTAACACATACACACACACAAAAAAAAAAAAGAATAATTGTCTTAGATTTTTCTCTTCTCATTTAACATAAAGACAAATGGTCTAATAATGAAATAGAAAAGGTGATAAAACTTTTGAATACAAAAATAAAAAAACAGAAAATCAAGCTTCTGATTTAGTTTACTTATTAATTTCAAATAAAATGTGTTATATTTTTCGTTTTAAAATTCACACATTATTTTATGAGTTATTTTTTTTCAATTAAACAATTTTTAATCCTATTTTGTAGAAAGGTGTTTGTATAGATAAACGAAAAAAAAAAGGTGATATATAGAATGTGTCATATCAACATGTACATTTGCGAATCAAATAAAAGGATACTGATAACAATACTTTTATTTTATTGTATCATTATTACAAATGATATAGATAACTGATAAGATTCACAAGAAGAGAAAAATGACATAGAGGATAAAATACAAAGTTAACTCTTTTGTTTTTTTAGTGCAGAAGAAGAAGGTGCATGATGATAATTCAATATTTATTCATTGCTTTCTTGAGTTTTATAACTGTTTATGGAACACAATGGCCTGTTCCATATGAACGTGTAACAAGTCGTCCAACAAATAATCCATATTGTCAAGCAGGTCTTATTACATTTTGTCCAACTGGTAAAACTGAAGATGCAATGGTTTATGCAGAAGATGATGATGATATTATCGAAATATTTGCACTTAAAAAACCAGTATGGTCATTTAAATTTGGAGATTTAATGGCTAAATTTGTGAGTTTTTTTTTTTCTAAATAAAAATGTTTAATTGTTTTCTATGAAAAAAAAACTAGAAAGTTATGCATGATGCATTAGGTTTTCGTAGTCAAAAAACAGGTCTAAATTGGACAATGGAATGGTAAATAAAATTTTTGCTTGTAAAAAAATTAAATATTAATTTTTATTTTAATAAAGGTATGAATTAGATCAACTATTTAATTGTACATTTCCACATGTACTTCGAGATGATTCATTTATATGGTGTAATCAAGGTAAATTTAGATATTTTTTTTATTACCATTATTAAATATATTATTATTTATAGGTGCTTTATGTGTTTATGAAGGAATTGTTGATTCCTTATGGAATGGTACATCGGATTTAAGCATGTTGAAAAAAGTTGGTCAAACGAGTGGTTAATATTCTCTTTTTAGTTTATTTATTCTTTCTAAAAATTTTTTCTTTTGAATAGGTAAAAATTATAATGCTTGGGCATCATGGGCTGTGAATGATAATAATACAGGTGTCTATTATGAAACATGGTCAGTCTATTCCGATAATGGTGGGTATTTATCGAAATGTCTTTTTTAAGAACTTCATTTAAGTGTGACGCATTGAACACAGTCCACAAAGTAAAGATTGTAACAAATAAGAGGTTTTCTCAGTTTACAAAAATGCGGTGGTCAAGCAAAAAAAAGGAAGAAATAATGCAAATTTTTTTTTTAAACATGCTTAAAAATTCTGCATCTTTAGACATATGTTTGAGAATTTTAGAAAAAAAAATATGGGAAAACTTTAGAATTAAAATTCTACATCAGACAGCTCAAGAATGACTATAACATACGCTAAATGTTGCTTTGAAACTTTTTTTCTCATAAACGATAGCATTAAGAAGCGAAAATTGAGAGCACAAAATTCTCTATTCATTGATGCTAACTGCATTATTTTATCGATTGATCTTGATAAACAAAAGACTTACACAAATTGATAGATATCAGTAGGAGTTCAAATTTTAAATTTTACTCCAAAAAGAAAAATTTATTTGAAAAGCAAACACAATAGTTTTATCGAGCAAAAAACTCTGTATCGAAATGATCTAAAAAAAGAAAAAGAACATAATTTTGTTTCATGTAATCTCAATCATCCGTTTCCGACAAAAATATGCAATAAATAAAATCAAATAGAAAATAGATAGAGCTATTTAGTTTCCTAGTAGGAAGAGGCGAAGTAATATTTTCATAAAAATTTGAATAGATCGAAGAAAAAAAGAATACTTCTGCTTTTCGACTACCTTGCAGTATGATGTGCTGCTTAGCGATAGTTTCAATAGTCCAATATCTTCCCTACAACTAATACTAGCCACAATACCTTGTGGATACGTGTCGAACTATGTGGTCGCCTGAATAGACTGTCAGTCTATGAATGAATTAGAGTAAATTATCAGATTGGAACTTGAGTTCTGCACGTTTGGATCAGTAGAATTATATTGCCATTATAAAACTACATTTTAAGAAGAGCAATTATATATTCTGATAGCGTTCGGAATTCTCTATTACCCTGTACATTTAGGTCTTGACTTGCATTTATTTGCTGAAAAATATTTCGAATACAGTGAAGACATCATCATCCGCATTGACAATGTTCAAAATATTTCTCAGTACATAAGTTCAAGTCAAGACCTGAATATATAGAGCGATAGAGCATTTCAAGAGCTCTCAGAATATATAATTACTTTTCTAAAAAAACGGATTACTGTATAGATAAAAATTTTGAAAACACAGAAGAAAGGAATGAAAAATGGAGTTCACAGGAATCTGAAGGTGGAGGTGTCTTCACTGTATTCGAAATATTTTTCACCAAATAAATGCAAGTCAAAACTTAAATACACAGAGTGATAGAGAATTCCGAGTACTATCAGAATACATAATTAATTTCCTTAAAATGTAGTTTTATATTGATCCAGACGTGTAGAACTTATGTTTCAATCTGATATAGCATTAACTATAATACTAAATCTTCAGTGAACTCATACTCAGAAACTTTTTTGAAGAAATAAAATAATCTACATAGAAGAGAATTAGCGTACTACGAAAAAAAAAATTGTTTCTTCATAGTGCGAAACTTCTTTCTTCATTCTCCTGTTAGATAACATTTTGTTTACCATAATACTCAGACTCTGATCATAAGGATAATTAATAATAAAATACATTGATTTTTTTTTTCTTATAGGTCCTAATGCAACAATATATTTCGATTCGTATGATTGTGCTAGTTTTGTTATTCGTGGATTAAATCAATTGTATCGTTATGGTGCTGAAATATTACCAAATATTCATTTGAATTATACACGTATAAATCTCTATGCATATGAACCTCAATTACTTGGTACATATAATCAAATAATTCAAAATAAAACTCTTCATAAAGATTTTATTAATTTTTATCGTGAGTTTGATTCAAAAAAACCAACAACTGAAGACTGGATTAAATCTTTATTAGAAATTTATGAAACATTTTTTATATCACGACGTTTCTATTTATATTTCAATAATGTTTATTGGTATATGAAATTAAAAGAAACAACACCACTTAAAATAACATTTTATGAAATTCCAATTGGTTCTATTTTGAAAAATGAAATAATATAAAAAAAAAAAAAGAAATACACTACTTGCTATGAACAAAGATTAATAAAAAATAAATTCAATACAAATTTTATTAATATAAATCTTTCTATAGTTAAATAATCCGTAGGACAACACCTTTAGCTGATTGTTGCGTCTATTATTTTTTGAAAAAAAAGAATGATTGTTTAAATTGCAGGCAACCATTCTTTACATGAATATCAAGGTGAGACCACCATACTTTACGAACGAAAAGTAATGATGAAAAAAAAACATTTGTGTTTTTCCTAAATTGTTTCGAGTAAATCCTTTTCTTTTTTTTTCTAATAAAAAATGTTACACGTGATGCACTATCAGATGATTTAATTCTCAAATTTCTACATATCGTACCATTGAAAAAAGAAAAAAGCTAAATTCAACCAATAAAGTTTTTACTGTTTGACTGCACACTATTGAAAGAAGAGGACAAAATAGGTCTATTTAAAACTTTATTACTATCACTAATAAATTGACCTTGCGTCATTCATGGACACAATTTATTTTGATCGAAAATTATACCAATTTAGAACAATATGATAAATTACAATTACATAAAGAATAAAAGTACAGTGTATTTATAATTTTAGTAGTCAATTATATTTGACCAGATATTTTTTTTTAATGTGAGACACATTATTTTGAATAGACATATATTTGATTTATAAATGATTCATAATTTTGTTATAGTATTATCTTATTCTAATATTTTTGCATTGAATAGTTGTTATGCTTGATTTATTTGTGTATATTTTTTCTTTTCGTAACCTTGTATTTAAAAATAAAAACGCCATTCTGTTTCCCTCACTAAATATATTTATATTTACACATAGATAAACGTGTGCAATAACGTTTGTTTCATTCAATCATTACCTTTCTCGCATTGTATTGTAATATTTAGTTATTTTATAAATCGAATTAAATATAATGTATAGTCAAGGGCGTAATCATTCAAATTCAAGAGCGACATCAAGAGAAACATCGAATGCTTCATCTAGACGAACAACATTATCTGATTCTTGGGAAGATATCATGAGTAATACAATACCAGGATCTCAACGAACAATAAATGGTTCAAATCAATTTAATATTCATTCGAGAGAAGATGGTCGTTCTTCAGTTTTATCAAGTACAATTCCAAGTGTTGATACTGTTATCAGTAAGAAACGTGATATCGACAGAATCAGTAATAATCGATCTCATGAAAATCTTACTCAAAATCAACGAAAACCATGGATTAATCCATATTGGGGTCCAAATTGGAACCCAAACACAGCTGGAACTCAATCAAAACCGAAAAACCTCAATAAAAATACGAATATTAAACGGTAAGGAAATAGTTTGTCAATTATTTTCCATTGACAAGGGAATATATCCAATTGTCGGATATCATTCGACTTCATATTATGACTATGGGAAGGTCTCGATGACTCCTAAGCTAAACTTAAAAGGATTTGGATTTATGATCTACTGATAAAGAATTATGACCGTTTAAATGAAATTTTCCTGATAGTCCTGAATTGTCGAGCAATTCAGTTTCAAAAAAAAAGTAGCAGTTTACAATAGAAGGATTGAAACTTTCAGGATTATCAAAGGTATCTAGAAACACATTTTTTTTCCAGATGGAAACTCTTTGTTTTGAATTTTTCGAAAATGTCTTGTTCTCAATAATAATTTCATTTAGACCGCCATAACTCTTTATCAATCGATCATGGATTTGAAAATTTTTTAAGCTTATCTTAATCTCATCGAGATCTACTCGTAGTCATAATATGAATTCGAAAAATGTCTGACAGTTGGATATATTTCCTTGTGAGTTAATTTTGTTTTTTTCATTTTTCTTTAAAGTTCTCCATCACCTATGAATATCCATCAAGTTATTCCAGGTTCGATATTAGTTAATGATCAAGATGAAATGGATGATTTATCATGGACACCAAACATGCATATTAAAGCAATAGTATCAAATAATCCATTAAATCCTAGTGGTAAATATATAGCAGATGATAATGGTAGTTCTGATGGTTATGTTACACCAACACTTATTAATCGTCAAATTCTAACATCATCACCAGAATTATCTTTACATTCTGAAAGTGATCTTGATTCTATACAATCAAGTTCATCATCGGATGTTAATACTCGAAGTCAATCTACATTTAATCGACAACAAAATTTTTCGAAGACCACGGACAATAAGAATCAAACATGGGTCAATCCATATTGGGGTAAAAAATTGAATCAAACTAATTCTCAATCTACACAAGAAAATAATAGAATTAGAAATCAAAAATCGGCATCATCAAATAATTCAATACAAAATTCATGGGTCAATCCATATTGGGACCCAAAATCAAATCAAACTAATTCTCAATTCACACAACAAAATAATCGAATCGGAAATCAAAAATCGGCATCATCAAATAATTCAACACAAAATTCATGGGTCAATCCATATTGGGGTCCAAAATCAAATCAAACTAATTCTCAATTTACACAACAAAATAATAGAATTGGAAATCAAAAACCAGTATCATCAAATAATTCAACACAAAATTCATGGGTCAATCCATATTGGGGTACAAAACCTTCTGAAAAATCAACATCATCAAGTGGAATTAAAAAATCTCAAACTTCAACAGTACCACAACAAGACAATTGGCAATATCAGAATTGCTCTTGGAAAGATAAAAATGCATCCGATTCAGACTTTAATATTACTTCATTAAACGAATCATTATCATGCGAATTTAAATTCACGCCAATTCCATCATTTTACAAACGACTCTATCCTCCTTATCCATCATCATCTTCTTCAATACCAATCGTTGATATGGAACATTATGGAATACTTAATCAAACTATTGACGATAACGAAGATATACCATTCACAATCGACCGTCAAGGAGTAGCACACTATCGAGCAGAATCATCTTCATCTAATATCATGAATACAACAGCTAACATACCTTCTTCATTAACAACTTCGCAGTATCCAATTTTATCTCCAAAGACACATAACAATATACTATCCTCAGAAACAACTAATCCTGCATTAGTTTCACAAATCACGAATTCCATGTCTTCTTCATATCCAAATAACATAACATCTTCTCCATTACAGAACTTAAGCAATGAACCATCATCTTTATTTAATTATTATCCATCAATGGCTTCTTCTTCTTCTTCTTCTTCTTCTGCAATTGTACTTACTGAAGCCGATTTGAATAGCATTCAACATGCTCTTCATTTACTTAACACTAGTCCAAATGTGATATCTGTCATGGAAAATTCTACACAAGTAGTACCATCATCAAATATTAGCCATCCTAATAATCCTTCATCATCCTTAGCTTCTTTATTTAATCCTAATAAAGCACAACAATCTCAACCACCACCATCAACATCATTCTCAGCAAATAAACAAGACAATCCTCCATTATATGCATATATTTCCAATTCTGAACAAATGCCACTGCTCTCCACACCTAGTTATCCTTCAAATCAAGATGATACTTTAAGTCGTTTGATGGCAAAAGGAACAATTCTTCATATTTAAGAACAGAATTTTATTTCCTTTTTTCTATGATTTTTTCAATAAAAGATCGATGAAAAACAGGAAAATTAAAATCATTTTTCATTTTACTAACACAACCATTTATTATATATATGTATACAAGCATCATAAAATTATTATGTACTATTCAAAATACATTTTCTTCTATTCGCCGCATTATTCAGACATGGTTCATTGATACACTGACATTGTCATCTTTCATCATAACGAATAAAATTAATTTTATGGACATTATCATCTAGTTTTTTTTTCTTTTCAGACTATGTTCGACAGAAACGAACGTTTGATATATTGTATTCTAATCATTATCATATTCTTAATTAACAAGATAAATATTTTATTTTAAACTCAAAATTATAAAAAACACTTTCTATGAGTATTTTACCATCATCGAATAATCAAGTCAAACCATCATCATCCAATCATCTTGTAGTATGTTTTTATCTACTTTTAATGAATGTCATTGAAGGAAAACACAATACGGTCGATCAATATCGTCGACAGTACAAGGATAAAAATGGTTCCACTTTTCGTTCCATTTCTTTGAGATACTGTGTCGAATAGAGCTAAAATTTTTTACCGATACTAGACACTATTTGGACTACGTACTTTGGTTTATTTCTTTTAATATTGTATGTACTCTTCAAATAAAAATGCAAAAATATTTAGAGCCACCCCAATAAATACTTGTTTTTTTTACTAGTAATCATCTTTTAAATTTGCCGCAAATCGCCCTAGCAATATTGAAAAAAGTATTCACTACAGTTTCTGATAAGAAAATATATTTTTGATCATCAAATTTCCTAGTTGTGATATTTTATCATCTCTTCTCTAAAGCAGCTACTACTTCTCATATATATCTGTCACATATACGAATTCCATAGTATCGAACTCGAAGAGTTGGTTCAACTGAAATCAATTTTCAAATGAAATCGTTAATAACTTCAAGTATTCGAATGTGTCTAAATGCTATTATCACAAGCGTCCACAACTTAACTACGGGTGAAGTCCTATCAACTATGCTCACTAGGATGTGATTGATGGAACCGAAGAGAAGACGCACGCGTACATTTCTTTTTATATGATAATATTTTGAAACAAAGAAATTTATGAATGGTTCATTTCTATTTTTGTCTAAAAACTTTTAGAATAATTTGTAAGAATACTTAAATTAGAAGATTATCTCATAAATTGGTGATTTATTTGAACAGATATATTTGTTCAATACTTCTATGATATTTAATTAAGTTTTTTTTTTTTAAAGATTTCAAAAAAGAGAAAAGATAAAAATAAAATAACTTTATCTACATAAACAGAAGAAAAAACAATAGAAATGAATAAAAAATTTTATTCCAACAACTAATAATCAAGTACTTGATGAACGAGAATTAGGTGCTACAAATAATCGTGTATTAAATCTTTGTTTTGATACTTTGAGTAATTTAAATTGTCGATCACAACCAAGAAATATTAAAATAAAGATGAATTGAAAGCCAGCAAGAACAAAGAAATAGATAAAAAATAATTCCGGTTGATCATGAGCTTTACACTATAAATTATAAACAAAAAAAAAAAGATATACATAAAGAAATTCTATGACAAAACATATCTCTTTTTTTTCTTACTTCTGAATTATCAAAAGTGAGATTTTCTTTAATTTTAACAAATATACCAACATAAGCAGAACCAAAAAATGATGAAATACCAGCTGAACAAAATCGAAGACTCATTATTAATGATTGAGCTGATTGTGGTGCAGCCATATAAGCAAATTCAAGACTAGCAACAGAAGTAAATACTTCTGAAAGACCAATACCAACATATTGTGGAAATTGATAAAATATAGACATATCAGCAGCTGTATAATTTGTTTTGCCTATATTATAAAATCAAAGATACAAAAAAAAAGCAATATAATCATCTAATAGATACCAATAGTTTGTAGAATAGGTGGTTGTATATCGCATGTTTTTTGACGAAATATTTCGATTGTACCTGCTATACACATAGAAATTGATGCTGCAATCAAACCAATAACAATACGAGATCTTATTGAAAATGATCGTCCACTTGCTTCAAGACGTTTATAAACGAATGTATTGAGAAAAAAGATTGTAACTATAGATAGAAGATAAGAATAAATATAAGTATATCAAGTAGAATTCTGTTCTTATTTTATTTACTACATAGAACGAAGAAAAAGTAACAAAGGTAATAACAATTAAAAATTTCTCTATTTTAATCTCAGTAATTAAAAGCTGTTAACGCAATCCATGCACCATTGAAATGGGAAAACACGATGAATCGGTATATAATTATAAATCAAGGCATTATTCAACCTATACTTCCAATGTACTGATATGTCTGTGATAAAAAATCTTATTTGTCATACGTTACAGTAAATTCGGACAAAGAAGACTCAAACACTGGTATTTTAAATTCAATCCTCAAGATATCATCCAAATTCCTACTCCTATACTTCAACAATCTTTTTAGATGGACATTTTGACGTTTCGTCGGTACTTTTCATTCCGAACATTCGTTTTCTTCAAAGGGTGTTCGGGACGGTAAAAACACACACACATTTCTGTATGAGGAGCTGGATAATTTTAACGGATGTTTCGAATGGAGATCTGCTTCTTTTAGTAGTGCAGCACTTTAGTTCCAGTTAACCGATGTTCGAAATGCTCTTCCTTTCACAACACTGTATACAGTATGTTAGACACGTAGTTACAGATGTGAAAGTGTGTACTGAATTACGAACTTCTATTCACTTTTACATCAATATAACTAATATTATTGTTTTTTTCGAGATTATGAGATCTACTCTTCTTTCTTTACAGTTCTATATCCAACTCCATTTGAACACTGTTTGTTTTGTTTTCGAACATCCCTATGTTTGCATTCGAACACTAGATAATTTCTGTTACGAACATCTACCTTTTGTAACTCTGTCATACGACATAATTCATTCTGAACATCCGTTAGATGTTTTTTCGAACATCCGATGTCAAAGATGGATGTTCGGAATGACAGCGACGAAATATCTGGAAGGCTTTTACATGATGCTTCAGAAAAATATTAGACTTTAAATCTTTTCAATATCTGATGGAATCGTATAATCTTTTGACTCAGATTTGATAATTAAAGCAAAGAAACCTGCTCTAAAACTTTCGATTCACTAAGTTGTCATACTGTTTTTTAATTATTTCTCATAGAAATGTATAAAACACTATCGTTCATTGGATGTGTAACTGTATTCTATCTATCTCATATTGTTTGAAATAGTCGTTCTTAACGAAATTTATACAAATTGCAACATAAAATTCTAATGAAGTGCTTTAAATAATTTACCAATAATAATTATTTGATCACCAAGTGAAAGCCAAATAACAGGCATATAATGTTGATTATGGTCTGTACGAAGAATTTTTATTACTTTCATATGTACACCTTGTACAAGAAAAGTTGTTTCAATCTAAATAAATATATGAAATAAAAACTATCTTGTAAAAAATTTTACAATAAAACTTCTCGAATGTGAACACCATCAGGACCGGTCAAAAATACTCCCTATATGAAGGTGCTTATTATTGGGAGAGTTTCAGTTGTAATCACCTGTCGACTGCACGACATGATCTTTTTCTTCTTACCAACAATTTATTTATTCAACTGTTTAAATCAGAGGAAAATCAGTATGTGTTGATATGATTTAATATTTTTTACTTTTTTTGTATTTATTCTATGCAATAAAAGATATTTGTTATCTATTATGCCTATGATCATATAGAGATCAAGACCTGCTAGAATTAACTCTGTTTTAAAACGCAACAGCTGTTGACATACAGAAGTTATGACTCATTTTATGCACCTGTGATACTTGTCTTATCTTGATTCTTTTTTAATATCAATGTGACGTATTTCTTATATTTCTTTTGCTTGAATATTTACTTATACATAGTAGCTATCGCTTTCAAAAAACGATTTTCATAGATGCTGGGACAGTTTGAGATCAAAGAAATACAGTTATTAACACAAAAAAGACAAGATACTAAATCGAGCACTGTTACTGTTGTCTAATATTGTTTTTTTTTCTAAATATCTACAGCTGATCATGGTTGTTTATCATAACGTAATACACATAACATCATTTTTTATTCTCGTGCTACACGTATATGTTACTCACAATAAGAAGATGCTCATATAGAGAAATTTTACTGTATTTTTTTTAAAACTATGAACATATCTTTACCTGAAAATAGACAAGCCAATAAGGTATTAAAAGAAGAAAAACAAGAATAATACGTCGAAGTGATTTAATATCATCTACTATACGATCAATAAATCGTCCTTGATTAGGTATTTTTGCATAATCCAAAAAAGACCATGATTGATTACTTGTTGTTGATGATAATTGATCACTATTTTCAATTTGATAATCTAATAATGTTGAAGAATTAGAAGGTCTTCGATTATTAATTAATGTTTGTTTATTTTGTTGATGTTTTCTCCATGTTTGAAAAGCATTTATAAAAACAGGAATAAAATTACTAATAACTGAATCATGTGGTTGAATATGTATATAAAATTTATAACCAATTAAAAATAATATTAAAGCTATTATTAATAATACTGTTGGAACAATATAACCAATAAAATAACTATTATTTTGTTGTGCATAAGCAATAAAAGCAAATGCAATAAGACCACCTGTATTAATTGCAGCATAATATTTATCAAAATATTTTCTTGTTGCTCTTTGTTCTCGTATTTGTTCAGCACCAAATACAGCCATATTAGATTGTACTGCACCAACACCAATAGCACTATGAGAAAAATCAAAAAAAGGAAAAAAGCTTTTTTTTTTTTGTTTTCTCTCAAAATATAAAACAATTAAATTTACGTAAAAACTAATGTTGAAAGAACTTGAGGAATACATTGTTCTTCGAAAAATTCTGATGTTATTGAACTTGTTAAATTTA